CCGCTTTCTCGCTTTCCCGCTTCCCCGTTTCCCCACTTTTATTCCATATAGATGTCCTTCGGAAAATCTATACCCTTCACGGCTACAGCAATTTTCTGCGAGATAGAGTAGAAAGGCAGAGGCCAATGGGGACGGCAACCCCCGATAGCCTCCTTAGGAGCCCCCGAGAATCCGCCCCCTCATGGTGGTCCAGCCATTAAAAAATCCTGCAAACTCCCGTCTTTCCCTCTATGAAATCTTTGATTCTCGGTGAGAAGACCACTCAAATAATTTTTTTATGGTGGGAAGACCCATCACATGAGAACGACGACCCTCATATGACCTTCCTGAAGCTCCCGGGAACCCACCCCTGAATTTTCACGGCGACCGGTTCGGGCGTTTGTGAATTTTGCGAATTCCCGATTTTTCATTTTTTTTCCGAGTTTTCGTATTTTCGTGGGTGGAGCACTCAAATAATTTTTGCAGGCAGGCAGACAGACAGACAGACAGACAGACAGACAGACAGACAGACAGACAGACAGACAGACAGACAGACAGACAGACATGAGACCCTGTTTCAGGGGCGATTTCTCAGCAGATCCTTCGGGTTTCTCTTTGCCATTCTTCCAGCTGTCTTCTTGTTTTCCTCATGAAATTTCCGTCAGTTTGTTAAGTGAAACCCAATCTTCTAGCCACTTCGTCAATATCGAAGTGGTGAGGAGTGCATTCCCTCATAATGTGAGGAATGGTTTCTTCGTCTAAGCCACACTTCAAACAGTGCGGCTCGATCCGTTGGTACTTCGCTCTATGCGACCTCGTCGGTAGCATCCCTGCTCTTGCTAGGGCTAACAGAGCGCTCCCTCGACGATTTCTATATAGTCCATATGTTGGGGTGGCTGTATCCTTCCATATGCTGTACAATTCCAGGCTGGGTTTAGAGTTTATTCCCTCTCTCCACAGCTCTTCCATCTTTCCTCTAGTATGTTTCTTCACCGTATTATTGAAAAGATTTATTCTCGGTTTGAGGTCGTCTGTGTATACTAATGGTATGTTCCCGCATGAGTATTTATCGCTGAGGTGGCACATTCTTCTGAGCGCTGCTGTCGTTATCTTCGTTGAGGCCATCATGGACAGTATCATGCGTGGCCATCGGTCGGGCTCCATCGCGCTTATTCTCGCGAAATATCGTATCTTGCTCTGCGCTTCTCTCGATTCGAAGGTTGACCACCCGAGTTCGCCTTGTACGAACTCGTTCGCAACTTTATATTCGTTTATTCCCAGTGCCCATTTTCCAACTGCAGTCTGAATTCTTTCGAATTCAGCCGGCATTTGGTTTGAGGCCCGAGACTCGCATTCGCGTATGTGAGTCTCGCTACTCCCGTTGCCTTCCATTGTATTCGTGTGTTTTCGAATCTGTTAAAGGACCATAAACCTTGGGCGTGCAATTGTTGTTTAGCCTTCCTTGCCTCCCTCTTCCAGTTCAGTTCCTGTTGGAGTTAAGGTTAAGGTTCGTCCGCGTCAAACGGAATAAAATGCTTCTTTTGATCGCTCATGCTCGGTCTGTGGTGTGGCTGCTAACTACTAGCGAACTATAGTGCCCAGGTTCTGTGGACTGGCACGGTCGGAGTCCGTGGGGGTTCGCTGTGGTGCTCAACAAAGAGGGGTCTTTGCCCCGTTGGCTTTCATTATCTATATAAATGATCTGCTCTTGGAATTCAGTCACCACGAGGTCTCGTCGATCGGATATGCCGATGACGCTTGTTTTCTTCTCAACTTCGAGTCCCATGTCGGGCATGAGGAAATCGAGACTCTGATGGCCGGAGTTCAGAGATGGTCAGCCAGAAACGGCTTAAAACTCAATGATAACAAGTGTAACTTCATAATATCCGGTAACCGGCCTGCCAGCTCTCTTCCACCGGTCAGAATTCATTCCGAGCCTGGCCATGATGTCTGTTCTTGTCCCTCAGTAAAGCGGGTCTGCGAAACCAAATACCTCGGGATTGTGATCGACGAAAAGCTATCCTGGAGGCCCCAGATCGCCCTACTACTCAATGAACTTAGGCGTGCTGTGGCTTGCATCGCGAAACTTGGGAGAGCCTCATCGAGGGAGGTCGTGCTCGGAGCATACAGAGGACTTTTCGAGTCTCATCTGCGTTATGGAATTCTTGCATACGGCTCCGCGTTCAGAACCGTTGTCGGCCCAATCGAGAGGATTCAGAACCGCTGCATCCGAATCATCGCTGGGAAGTCTGGAAACGAGCCGATAGATGAACTATATGATCAGTTGGGAATTATGTTGTTCCGTAAACTGCACTTGTCCGTGCTCTTGATGTACCTACACATACAACAACCTCAGACAGCAAACATGCTGGAAGATGAGAACACGGTCAATCACCAACACGCCACCAGAGGCATGCAGTCAAAACGCGTCCGCCTGCCTGCCTTCCGGCTCGAGAGCACCAGGCGAACCCATAAATGGCAGTACCTCACAGTATATAACTCTCTCCCTGAAAATCTCAGGAACTGGTATCTTTTCCGAATCTCAGGAAGAAAGAGAAATATTAGACGTTTCCTGAGCTCTATTACCATTGATAAAATGAATACCCTGCTCCCTTGAATCAACCTTGATGGAATGAAAGTTTCTCCCCTGGGATCCCATCCCCCCGAACGCAAACACGTCTCCTCCCGATACCACGGACAGGGTTCGCCCTCGTGGAACTGATGTATTGTTAAATTGATGTATGACACGAAACATTGTCTAAACAAAGAGGGATGTTGTTAAAAAAAAAGGTTCTGCTCAGACTTCACTCAGCCTACGCACTTACCCACTTGTAGCACTCCACTCCACTCTCCGGTAGATGACTGGCACTTCCCACAATGCTCTCCGTCCTGAATCCACGCCTTCGGGTATCCCTTCTTCGGAATCCTTCTTCAGATCCCACCGCTGTTGTTAGGTGGCCTTGCTCTTCCAGGAACAACACATCTTGGCACTTGGGAAGTTATTTATTCGGAGTTACTTGTTCCGACCGTCGGCCTGCTTTGCCGCGCGCGGTACGCACTCTAAAGCCAATGGAATGATGATTGTGTTCTATGCGCAATCGCGCTGTTCATGCTCGCCGATCCACGGCTCGTTCCTAACACTACCTACGCTTGCCACAGTTCTGACAATGTTTTTCACTCCGGAGTCTCCGGCGTGGCTCGTGAAACAGAATAGCCCGAAATCGATGGTGAGCGAGGCTCTGTACTTCTTCTTCGGTCGTACAGCCTTCGCCGAGAGTCAACGAGAACTCCTGATTGAGAGCAAGACGGTGACGGCAGCCATTTCTCCGTGGCCTATCTGAAAGACCCTGCCGTACTTCGACCGCTCCTGATCGCTATAATCCTGGCAGGCACGCAGCAGGCTTGTGGAATCGACGTGATACTCTTCTACACGAACGAAATAGTTTCTTCAGCGTCTCAGAGCATCGAACCCTCGATTCAAGCCATCATCGCGGGTGCGGCTCAAGTCGTTTTCACGTTCGTAGCGGCTCTGCTCATCGATCGCGCCGGTCGTCGAGTGCTGCTGCTGGCCTCGAGTACAATATCCCTCATCGGGATGCTTCTTCTGATCGCTTCCTACGTCCTGCAAGAACAGAAAAGTCCAGCGTTGGATGACTTGAGTTGGCTCCCGGCGATATCGCTATCAATTTTCGTCGCGGGCTTCTCCTTCGGACTCAGACCAGTGCCTTGGCTCCTCATGGTTGAATTGCTCCCAGCTCGCGCGGGGGGTCGGGGTAGGACTGAGCGTAAGGTTCAACTCGCTATGTGCGTTCCTGGTGACAAAATTCTCCCCTAATCTCACGGTCGAGTGGGGCTCCCCACGAGCATTCCTCATCCTCGCTGGAGTCATTGCCTTTAGCTTTGTGTTCGTTCACTTCTTCATATCAGAAACCAAGAACAGGACTCTCCGAGAGAGATCGGAGCACTGTTCGAAAGTCTCTCGAGGAACGGATTTCGGGGGAACAACGACCGGAGCCCGATCCACGCATCGAGTGCGACGGACTTCCCCGCGCGACCTGACGGTCACTCCATTTGAAACGGAAGGCACGAAGAAAGAAACGAGCGCACGGCGTTGTATAAGAAAGATCACAATTTATTCCTTCGGCGATGGGAGAGAGAGGATCTTCAGCCTCGGAGTCCGGAATTTGTATGCGTCCCTGCATCCCCGTTTGAGGAAGAGGCTGAGCGCCATAGTCGCGACGGGATGCCAGCTCGGGAGACTCCAGGGTCCGGAGCCGAATTCGATCAGAGGCATCACATCTTCGTGGGGAGAGTATCCTGACGAATGCTGATCTATTGTCGTTTATCATCTGATCCTTTCAGAACCGACGGCTGCTTACGCGATCTAGCTGTCCGACGCTCACCGAAAATCATATCGTCCATTGCGGCCAAGGGTGCCTCGACGGAAATATTCAGATAGTAGGCCAGGAAGATAGACATTACGAATATTCCCAGCGCGTCCTTGAACTGAAAAATAAATTCTCCCATCGTGTACCCGTTCCAGGGTGCAATGCTCGAGGGTTGTAGAGGTCATCGCTTTCGGAGCCCTCATAATGGCCAGTCCTACTCCTTATATCATAGGGCTCTGATTTCGATGAGGCATTGCGGAGCCAAGGCCTAAACGTCGTTTACCTCCTAACTAGTCCTCGACTCACCACTAGAAATTGATTGACGTACAATACGGAACCCTTGAGATATCCGTTCTTGACAGATATCACTATCACGTGCATGAGGTAAATGCCATAGGTCAGACGACCGCAAACCGTGAAGATCCGGTGCGAGAGCATCTCGTTGACGATGCCTGAATCCAAGAAGAGTCAGTATCCCTTTGTATCAATCGAGAGATTTATAGCGGACAGTCCGAATTGGTTCCGGAGAAAAAACGTGATGTCGTCGTACCGCCTCTGCCTGTCGTGTTCGCATAGGTCAGCCACATCATGGCCAGACCCCATAGCGGCCTGTGGAAACCTGCGTAGATTGATCCCGGTAGTTGCTCTGGGAACCCGTAATTGAACCAGATCGCCGTACCGAAGACGACATACGAAGCTATGAGCGTGGAGATCAGCCACATGACAATCCGAATCCGCTGAAAACACAGAGGCCGAGTGAGGCGTTTGCCAGCTTGGGGATCTCATCCCCCATTGCAGGAGCTCGAGAAGTACATTTCGAATCCGTACGGCATTTCTCGGACCGCTGTACTGCAATCGAACGTTAGGGAGATAATCTCCCGAGACGTGGAATTTCCGAGTCATTACCAAGGACAGGAATGTTTTGGGATTGCGCGCACTGAAATATCCGCAGATGAGACCGAGGAAATAGTTCGGAAGATGAGGGTAGGCCTGTATGTAGACGTAATCGAAGGTCCGGAAGACTCGCCTGTGTGACCGGAACACAATGAGAATTCCTCCACAGGAATCGCCCTTCTTTCGGCGTATCTCGAGACATGGGATGAGGTCATTTCGCGCACTCATAAACATACATGACCCCACAGTTTCTCGCCTCAAGGAAGTTTTCGGAAAGGATGACTCACTCGAAATCGAAGTCTTTGATCGTTATGATGTAGGCGAAATTCATAACGTATGTGATGTAGGCTGTGAAGATCGCAGCCAGCACGCAGAGTATTCCACTGAGACCTAAAGCGATCCTAGGTCTGAACACCAGAAGTAGAGCGAATGCCGATCCGAGAGCGAAAATTTGCATGTCGACAGCCAAATACCATGTGTGAATAGCGCACTGGGAGAATTAGAGAACGTTCATGTCAAAGACCGGTATCGGTAGAGAGAGCGAGCATCGACACCGAAAGGAACGGCCAGGAATCGTATACCGTCGACGACACCGGCATAGAGACCCTAGTAGCGCCGTATTCCTACCAGATCTGATGCAGAGTCGGTGTTTCCTATGAGAAGAGGCAACTTCCACCAATTGTTGGGACAGTTGCCGACATAAGCAGCGAGCATGCTATCGATCGCGATCGGCGAGTCATATAAAAGGGGGATCAGGAAACTGTAGGTTAACATTGCAAGAGCTGGAAGCATAGTCCTGACGTATCGCCTGCAGCAGAGGATAGTGGCACTAGATTAGATAATGTAAGGGGGCGGTGATCAGGGATCGATTCCGTTGTCTTCCTCATATCGCATCTCGAAACACCCACCGCAGAAAGACGGTGAAATAAATCACTGAGATATGACGACCCCGGCAGGCATTGCGGATCTTCTCCTGATTTACGATTGTGAGATATCCCAGGAGGAAGCCACTGCGTAGGCAGAAGTGAAGATGTTGAGCATCGAATGGGAAGATCCGAAGAGGCTCTTCCGTAGGAGTTTATGTCTCGATGTTCTACCTGATGAAGAAGAAGGTCTCGACCACCATGAAAGTGTTGACTATGGGCTGGAAAATCCAGCTCTTGATTGCTTCTCTGCCATCGTAGAAGTTTTCTGCAAAGTTTATCATCAGTTTAAATTCTGATTCTCTTTCGAGACCCGAGATATGAACGAATGAAAATGATGACAAAATCCCTACCGAGCATATCTGGCTGAAGGAAACAGTGAGTATGCCCAACGACGGCCCAAAACGAGAGGAGGACTTTTAGCCCGTTCATGAATTGAAGAGACCCGTTCTCGTCTTTTGGATCCTTTAAAAGTCGCGCAGTGTTTCGTCGGATGGAGAAGAAGCTCAGAACTTCGATGACCGTTTTTGATTCCTTATCACCTCTCTCGATTTTCCAATCCAGGAAGGTCCCGACGATCAATAGAGCAGCTGTTATCAGCACGTATGTCCTGTCAGCATCGGGAAAAGGAGATCAGTTAAAAATCTGGAAAAATCCAACCGAGTGAGACATCGTCAAGTCCGACTCCAACTCACAGAGAAATCTTCTGTGCGGTACTCAATGCGATAGTTTCGTCGGTCTGACATCCCGATACAACGGCTGATATGTCATAAGCCATCAGCGCTGAGGAATTTTGTCGATTAGCGTTGCCGTGCTTCTCATAGCTGTCTCCACGTGTGTCGGATTGACACCAAAACGGTTGTCAATCAACAACCCACGGACTCCTTCCACAGAAATCGATTCGCATCTTATATCGTCAAGCCATTCTTGCCTTTGTTGACAATGTAGTGGAGCTCATCTTGATTGCATGAGGAGGGGACGCATACGCCTATCTTTATTCCGATGTGCAACTTCCTCAAATTTTTCGGGACAATCCTATCTTGTTGTGGAGCCCGTACCAAGAACTGAAAGAGCGATCGGGATCATTGTGGCTCCCAGAGATGGTTCTAACTTGCACCCAATATGACGTGAAATGAATTATAATTGAGATGTGTGAATCCCTTATGAGACAGCCCGTCGGTTTCCAAGACTTCGGAACTTCCGAGTCTTCTCCCCATCTTGCCCCCATCGCGTGGAATGGAAGTCCTCGATTAAACCCGGCCAAGAGATAATCTCAGTGCTATTCGAACCTCCTTAAAAGACGAGAACGGCCTGATGTGCTCCACGATGTCGTCATCCGGTAAGATCGTGACCGCGCACCATTGACCTCTGAAGGCTAAATGACCCTCTGAGTTGTATCGTCTGGCGCGCCGACATTGATCGAAACTACCGTAGGAGGCGAGTCCGCCGTCCAGTATGCTGGTCGGTAAGGAGCCCGACGAGAGGAGTACTATGACGAAAATGTTGACATTAGCTTCAGTGACACGGCTGTTGAGGAAGGATCTGCGCGAACATACAGACTCCAGAAGAATTCCAAAACAGAGAAAGGAAATCTCATACTTCGTAAAGCCCATTCCTCATTCTCGCGAGCAGCAGCCATGGTTCTGACGAGAGAACCGATGCAATTATTCGTCACGTTCGTATCCACCAGGAGCTCCTCGAAGAGCGGTTGGAGTCTTGAGCCAATGTCTTGGCCGAGCTTTCTCATCACCATTAGGAGAGCTTGCTTCTTCGGCGGCAATTCTGGAACGACTGCGGCCAGTGTCGGAATCAACAGGGCCGTTCCGAAGACCAGGATCACATTAATCTTCATTTTTCGCGGGGAATCTGAAATTTCCTGAATTTTCAGACTTCTCCGCTGTCGAATAATTATGCTTAAATCATATAGTGAAACTATTTTCATGTGCCTATGGTGCTCTCTCGGCTCTCTTTCCGCCATAGAATCGATCATATATCATCATTGAAATAATACAGGAAACCCTTTGTGAAGCATCATCAGGTAAAAGCTGTCGAGAAGACTGAAGAATTATCCGGGAGCAGGAATTGAGAGAACGAGAATCACGATTGAACACAAAGTCGAGCATCGACCCCTTCCGAGCGAAGGATCCGCGGGATATCCGACAAATGTATTCAACAATGGGGAACGACGACTTGGAGCACAATTCAACGAGCGTAAATCGGGGATTCAAAGCGGCCAAGAAGCAATCAATCCGACCTTAATCGGCCTCGGAGGGACGAAGTCTTTGGTCGAGGAGAAAACGTATGCGCCGGCTTGCCGATTGAGACTCGAACCCTCAGAAAATCCGAGCAGAATTTTTCTCCCGAGGAAGGCAAAACGCTCCATGTTGGACCTTAAATTTCTTATCGCGGAAGGGGCGAATGGCCGTATCGGATACATCGCGAAATCTTGCATCCTCGTGTCGCGGATTTTTCTCCGATTACAAATAGAATCTGAATTCCAGGGACCTGATCGTGGCTAACCGAATGACACCGGATCTACCAGCTGCACGCAGGTCGGATTGCGCATCGGCCGCGATTCTGATTGACTGAGACGAAAATGGTTAAGTCTCAGGAGCTCACCTTGCAGTCTCTGAAGGTGGTTGCTTCCAGGCACTGGGAGGAGATCAGTGTGGGATCGCGGATCACTTATGATTGAGATCCAAAGCAATTAAGGTGCCCCGCCTGTCCACTGCAACGGAAGCAGAATTTCTGCGCCATGCTTGAGAGCGTCGAAGTCGTCGATACACGAGGGAAGCCACAGCTTGAGGAGAGCGTACTGAAAGGGAAGAGTTCCCCTCTGAAGCCGACTCCATCGGTCGCGGCCGGAATTTGAGGCGGATACACAGAAAATCTGAGGGTCGTGCGAGAGGCTAGGAAAAACCGGAGACAGCCGCGAACTGTACAATGGGCCGCGATCCGAATCTGCGGCGCGATATCTAGCCAGCTCGGTACATTCAGCCGACTGTGTTCAAGTCGACATCACGGGACACCGACGAAGATAGAAATCTGATCCACCTACAGACTGAATCCACCTTGAGTGGTCGGTCCGTGTCAGCGGAGAGATTCCCCCCAATATCCCGTGAAGCTCGCGGAGGTGACGCAAGTTCCTTCACAGACCGGAAAATCGATAGAGACTTCGGAGATATGCTGATAGGTCGATTCGAATCGTGGTGATTGAGAATCAGATCGTACAATTCAATAACTGGCGACCAGGCTCCTTGACGAACCCGAAGTTAAACATTGTGCAAGCTGAACGACCTCCGACGCTCCAAAGATGTCGAGCTCATCTAATTCTACCATGCAGAGCGTCCCACCGCGCCCGGAATTGTATTCTGCTTGGTCGTGCCGCCTAGAAAACTATCTCTGCAACGAAGAAGACTTACCGAAGCATATGAACGATGCGCGATCCTTGCCTTCACCGGATCAAAAGCTTTCACCCGGCTCGTCGATGGAGTGCCTTCGGACAAGGACTTCGAGAGCCTCACGTTCTCAGAAATCACAGAAGTTCTGACGAAAATCTACGTGCCCGATGAGAACATTTGGACGTCACGGCTGTCGCTGCAGTTCGAGATACGAGACAGAATCCTGGCGAATCCTTTATGAAACTCGGCTGCGAACTTCGGGCCGAGGGTGCGAGTCGATCTGCGAAGAACCACAGATGAACCGCATCGAACAGTTCGTCGGCGGATCGGGCAATCAGAACATCTGATCAGCAGTCCTCGCGGAATGCGCGGCTTAGAAGGATCTGGAAGAGGTATCCACTAAAACCGAGGAGCTTATGCACGCAAACATATCTGCGTCGACATCCCGAATCGCACCGGCTCATGCATCGACCCCAAACGACGAGCTAAAACTTTCTGGAGGAAATCGGAAGAGAGAATTCGTGAGGAAAAAGGAAAACCCACCTCAATCACGGGATGGGATTCTCACAAAGACGTGTTAACGTTGCGGCCACCAAGTCATCTTGCACCGGATTACACATAAAAAAATTCGGAGTTTTATTCGCGTGAAGTCACGGGTCGTCTGGCCACGATGTGCTAGGAAAGGCGAATCCCGCATTCCCCGGTGAATTTTCCATTCCGTCGACGAGAACCAGAAAGCTCCGAGTGAAATAATCCATGATCATGGAGAGCCTAGAATCGTGCAACTTCGCCGGTGAGCTCGTCTGTTTCCACCAGGACTGCCGCTACAGCTTAAGCGGCGCCCGGCGATTTGCTTGAATTCATTGGAGACATCGGTACATCTGAAACTTTCCCTCTCGGTGGCACGCTCATTCTGGAACTATCGTTGATGGGATCACTCGATGGGACGTCGAGCATTGGAGAGCTGGTGGGAAGTGGAACGGGAGCATGTTCCGATTTGTCGCCGGGCACCTTGGTAATCCCGGGAGTCAGAGTAGAGAGCACACTGGGCTTATCAGTGACCCGCAGAGCGGCATCGGTCCATGCCGAATTGAAATATATCCGTATGTACATATGTAAATTATGTGTAGAACAGCAGTCTTCACAGAATACAGCAAAAACATTGATTGTCGAGGTACACAGTTTCATGAGTCGCCTGAAGTGTACACGGTGTCGGCGCCAGCCATCTCATTTTAGGCTTGTTATCGTCGATTCAGTTTTTTCGCCTTCAGTGTCTAAGGACCTGAATCCCAGTTTATTTTCCACCCATGTCATCCGCTCTTGTGTAGACGCTTCCGCGGGAGCCATAAACTCGGAGAAAGCGGGAAAAGACGACGGACGCTTTCGACGTTTTCATCAAAGGCCCAGCAAGCAACATCAATGTCGCAGGCATCGCTGCCCTTGTTGCTATGGTCGGGGAGCGCTCCTTGTACATGAGTAGCCTTGCTCGCAGACGTTCCAGAAAACATTTTGAAGGTCTGATTGAATTTGTCCGAGGCCTCGCCGCGGAGAAGCTTGAACCTTCGGTGAGCAGGCGCGATTGGGTCACAGAATCGATTGACGTCCCTCTCGCAGACACGGAACCGATAGGGAATCTCGGCGGGGATTTGAAGATAGGTGACCGGATCGCTGACGAGTCGACCTCTACTTCTTCATTCTATGGTCTGGTTTTTCTTGGGTGGACCACCCCGCAAAACTTCGAGGACCTTGTCGGCACCAGCAAGGTTCTGCTCTCTCTAGGGGGCGATTGAAGATTTAAAAGCCTCGAAAGCACGGAGGGGACAGTTTCAGCAAATCCTTCCGCTGATTCACTTCGAGCTGCCCAATTGCTCTCATCGTCAGATTCGTCTCATCCCTCGATCAGATTCCTACTGATGCCTCCCTCACGTTTTTCTAGACGTGATTGACCCGAATAAACCCCAACGTACTTGGCGACAAAAAGGATAGCAAAGATCCAAATGATGAATTGATATTGTCGATGATTACTCGGGAGCTGTCTCTGTGAACGAATCGCTTTCCCGACGTCATCATTCAACATGAAAGTGATAACCGACTCATGAGCTCCGACCAGCGTCGTTGTCAGCAGCAGCTGTGCGTATATGTTAGATTGAGGAGCGAAAAAGAGCACGTCTGTATGCGCAGTGGCGAAAAATGAATACCGTCACCGATTTCTGATCGAATTTTCCTAGGATACTACGGACCTCTAGTAGTTCCATACTCCGAGACTCGCCACTCTGGCAGTCGCCGTACATGATGCCGATGTCCGAGGTACCTCTCAGATATCTGAAGATACGCTTCACACCAAGCCAATCAGGCGCACTCGGTTCCTCCGAGGATCTTGCAGCCTTGCTAACAGCGAACGCGATGTCGGGGCGTGTCGCATTCGACAGATGCATGAGACATCCTACAGCTTCACGGTACGGAAGTTTCGCTGTCAGTTGCTCTACCTCCTCGGTTTCATCCTTGACCGCTAGCGTTGACACTGGATTAGACTCCTCCATTCCGATTTGTTCGAGGATCCGCTTCGTATAGACCTACTAAATTATGCGAATTCGATCAGCCTCAAAAGAGATTTTCATACCCAGATAACTCTCCGGAGTGCCGATGGTGATCTTGAAGACTTTCTTGAGCTCCTCGAGGAAGCTCTCAATCTCGGATTTGTTCTTCCACCTGCGAGTCCGTCGTCCACATAGATCGCCACGTATGGAGACTTTTCCTTCCTCACGCGGTAGAACAAACACGGATCGGCGTCGCTCTTTCTTAGACCAGCTCCTTCCAAGAATTGAACCAGCCTCTGATTCCAGCATCTTGGCGCTTGTTTCTGGCCATGGAGGCTTCTTTCGAGAAGATATACCTTATTCCATCCATCGTGGAATCCTTCAGGCTGTTCAAGATAGACTTCTTCGTCAAGCTTCCCGTACAGGAACGCGGTCTCCACGTCAAATTGAGCTAAGCTGAGCCGTCTTTGCGCTGCATTAGCCTACAGGGATCGATCGGTGCTCTACCTCGCGACTGGACTGAAGGTTTCGAAGTAATCAACTCCGGGAGTTTGGGCGTACCCCTTCGCACAGAAGCGAGCCTTGAATTTCTCTTTGCCTCCTCCCATGCCCTTCATTCGGAGAACCCAGCAACTCTTGGCTATTTTCGCACCCCTCGGACGCTCAACCAGATCCCACACCTCATTTTCTTCGAGATGAGCGGCCTTCGGCTCTACCACAGACTGGTCCATTCCATACAGACCTCCGGATAGTTTTCCGCTCGCGACGAGCGTGTTGCACTTCTTCCGAATGCTAAGGCTTTCCTTGACGATAACCGTGACCATTCTCCTTTCCCCTGCCGCGCGGACAGACATAAGATGGGCGGTTGCGTCGGGCACGAAGAGGACATCATTCAGGGTAGCCACGACATCGTTATTTTGATTGTGGAATATCACCTCCACGACTCCCTCCCCATGCGCGAGCATCGTCACATCTTTCTCCCCGGGAGAAATTCTCTGTGGTTGTGCGGACTCAGTGTACGACGAGAAGAACCTCCGATTCCAAGTCAAGTGCCTTGAAGCGCCGTCATCACTGTACCAGCGATCCGCTTTGATTCCATCCACCGAGGCCTTCAGAACTTCAGACATGGCAGCACTAGGAGCGAAGTTGAAGTATCCCCCTTTGGATCCTCTGGACATACGGCTGCCAACAAGGCCCAACTTTCCACATCGACGGCACGGAAATTGCAACTTGAGCCTCTCCTTGTCCTTGCCATGGGACTTTTCTCTATCGTCAGACTTCGACGCCTTCCTCGGCCGAGACGCATTCTGAGCTGCGAACTTTTCCTCCTTCTCTCGTGACGTGACAAGCGCAGTTTGGGACGTCCCGACCGAATACGACTTTGATGCCCAGCTGGAAGTATGCAGGACCCATAACCCTATGGGAAACTGAGCAGAAGAAGCAAAGATCTCTAGACTTAAACAGACTCAAGCAATGACACGTCTGCTTCTGGTTCTGGCACAGGATTCAGTAATTCGTTCTTTTCGACGTGAAAACGTCTCTGTCGCAGGCTTCGCAGACCAATTCGATGTACTTCGTCCTTCAAGCATCGAAATCTTGTCCGCTTTTGGAGCCTTAAAATTCAGAAACTGCGGAGTTACGGATTATCCGAACTGCATCACTGGGTCGTTAATTTACGGCAAAGTCTCCAGGTGCAATCGTTCGCGAGGCGGATCTATCATTCGATTCCTACAGTCGATTTTTCACATACCCCTGGATTCGGCACGAAAGCGTAAAAATAAGCGCGAATTATGAAGTAGTCCGTCAGTCTTTCGAAGGGAATTCTATAAGGCGAGGTCGGCGAGTGAGGGCCCGACAGAAGGCAGCAGACATATAAGAGCGAGAACCTAAGGGCTTCTGATTATTCGATGAAAAGTGCCAAAATCGAGATCGAGTCGGGCTTCGATCATGATTATGATTTGCTGGGGTGAACAACGAAGGTTTCCCAGAAAACCAAGTAGTTCTCCTGACTTGAGGCGAATCGAGCTTATCGACGATAGATGAGACCCTTTGCAGGGAGCTCCTGGCGACAGAAGCGGCACAACGAAGTACCTTCAAGCTCAGCGAGTGCGCGTGTCAAGTGTCAACGGATTTAGGCTGTCATCGGGAGGATCTCTTCATGGGGCGACTCATCAAGAGTCGACTTCGGCTCCGGCTCCGAAGGTCGTCGTGGTCAGAAGAGCTGCGGTCGCGATCGAATCCGGCAATAATCCGCGATCGAATACTGCAGTGGAACGCAAACTCAGCAATTCCGGCGTGTCTTCCCCGAAAACGTTTAATGCCATGCTTGTAACATGGATGAGAGGCTCCGCTTTCTGCGAAATTTGAGGATTGTCAAGGCCTCCATTGCACAACACTCGGCTGATGTTTCCCTGATGGGAACACGAATGTTATTTCAAGAAGCTAAACTCAGCTCAAACTTATCATAAATGATTACTTATCATATGGACGTCCCCTCCACGTCAAAAGCAAGGCTCAAACTTAGCCGCGTTCCCTCAGTGGCGGCGCCAGCCATTTTTCTTTGGGAAGCTTGAATTTTTGTTGGATACAGCTTCCCCCGAACAAGGAAGCGCGCTCGGAGACACAAAGATTTACACATTAAGACAAGTATTAGTGTTGCATAGATGCATACAATGATCCATATCTATGTATATTATATGGTAAAACAGCGGAGACTTTCCGCGTTCCGTCTTATGTTACTTTCCGAGCGACGAGCTGAGATACGACTCACTTACGCGTTTGAATCACAGTCGTACCACTAGGGGCATTCTTCGATGTTTGCCTTTGGCGAATTCGTCCTCGATTTGATTTGGAAGTTCTCGGCTCTCGGTCAGATGTTGATGACGGATATCAGTTGGGGTATCCCCAATCATGAAAGAGGAAACCCCCGTTTCGGGGTTGCGTGCGTGTATTGCGTCCAAGCGCATGTGCGGGATCAAGTCTTTCTCGTGACCTCGAGAAATTCAACCCGGCATGATCGACAGCAGCAGTCTGAATGCTCCGTAACCGATGGAACATATGATCGGAAAGTTTTTAGGAAGCTAAGCTTCCCGACTTCAGAGGCTTGGGAAGCTACAGCTTACAAAGCTTTCCGCTGGCGCCGCGACTGCGTTCCCTGGATGATGACGACCACGCGCTATAGGTCGAACTGAAGACACAAAACATTCACCAATCGTCGCACCTTAGCGGATTCGTCGAGGTAGCCGCAGTGAGGGTCCGAAAGGACGTCCTACTTCGGCAGCCCAAGGACTAAAATTGGTACATAGGTGTGGCTTTCGATTCTAGAATCGTGAAGCGGAAAAACTTCCGAAACTCGATAGCTGGCGCAGTTTTCGATGATTATGCCGACGGGATTCAGAAGAGGTATCGATGCCTTCGAACCTTGGACGGCGGAAGAATCGGGTTTAATCAGGCTAGATAAACGCATCAGCTGCCGTCCCGATGAGTTCCGCAGAGCTCGATTCCGTCGGAGGTATTATACTGAGCAGCATGCTCGGGCAAGCAGCAACATGCCTCTTATCGATCATGCTGCCGTTATTGGCTACATCGGCAGCGACCAAGTTCGATCTGTGCAGTTACGACGAAAACTACAGGACGACTCCAGAAGAGAGGAAATTCTACGCCTCCATCGCTCGTAAACTAGCCACGAAGTGCGCAAAGGTCTTCCTGGACCATATGAGAGAGATCCCCAAGGATCCCGGACGGGTCCTCAACATGGCGATCCCGGCCGCCTGTTTCGGGTACAAGACCTGTGTGTTGGTCACCGTCAGCGGGTGAGTCGATTCTACCATGATGTCGTTCCGTATTGCGCTTAAATTTCAAGAGGTGGCTCCCGCAGGGATCGTTCGCTCCTTCAGAATAACTGGAAGTTCGCTCCTTCATCGACAGACACATGACCGGACGCAGCCGCTATCAACTGAGCCTGAAGGAGACAGAGAAGCTAATGGACTGCGCTATGAGACTCGCGAGACTCGTTGATCCATCATATATTGCTGCCGCCTTGAATGTCAGCGAGCTAGAAGTTTCGCAGTTTGATATAATGAGCCTCGTCGTGGACGTGAACACGTGCTATCAACGCCATGTCGGGCCAGCTCCGCGAAGCTTCACCCCAGGTATCAGAATTTGGTTCTCAGTGTACAAGAAAATTTCTAAATTCATTCAATGAATCAATATCGCTTGCCTTCAATGATTACGGGACACGAGCCTGTCAAAAAAATCATGTCCACCATTCCAAGAGGATGCACCGAATTTCGCGAAGTGCAAGAGATCGTATGATTCAAGTGGGGGGAGCAAGGATCCGGGGCAAGACGGCACCGCGAGCTGCACGGGCCATCTGGGAGCTCGACATGGGAGCTGAGAAGGTAGAAGCGAGATACTTGCCTGAATTATCTTTCCCAATATAGGAAAGAGCAAGTGATGATGGATGAAAGCTTTCTAAGGGATGGTCCATGAGAAGGACGGAACAGTTCCGCTTTCTTCTGCTTACCTTGGATCGACGTCATGGAATGACTCCGGAGAATTTTCAAGGTACTTGAGCCAACGCCTCAAGAAAATTGCTCAACACTGTAAGGAGAGACTCGATAAATTCAGGTCCAATCTCTTCGTTGTTCACGATCGAGCGATACGGATCACGGATGTGGGCTCTGCAAAGTACCCGAGAGTTGGAGCTGGAGAACTTCCGCGCGTCTCAACATTGGATTGATAGCTCCAAGCACATAAACCGAATAACATCCAGGAGAATCACGAAGTACTTAACTCACAAAAACGAGCGAAAGCGGGAGGATATCGAGAACAAATAACTGCTTCTAGATTTCGCCGATAACGTGCAGCCTCGATTCGACTCACCGCAAATCCTCAATACGGATCAGTCAGGATTCCGATATCTCGTTCATACGAATCGAGCCTTCTCCTTTATTGGAGAACGCGCGACCCGCGCCGCGTTCCAAGCGATGCACCCTATGACGCACAGTTATACCATCCAACCGCTGCTGAAAATGTCGGGCTCTCTTATTGGATGGTTGTTCGAGAACCTACAGGAGGTGCAGGGCAATTCGGACCTCTTGTCGCGCCTACCGTTTCGAAGTATCGGGACCTTTTCGTCACATGCTCAAAATCTGGGAAGTTAAGCAAAGACCTGGTTGGTCAATGGGTCCACGAGGTTTCGAAGCGAGCACTCGATCAGATTCACGTCGATGAACGCGTTTTGTATGTACGTTGACTCCCGGGGAGGTCTTAAGGATCCAAACCTATATTTCCTGCGTGGAGTCAAAATAAACTCCGAATCGGATTGAAAACACTCACTGCAGGCGCGTCCGGAACTTCGGAACCGGTTTGTGGACATAAGCACAGAAATAAAATCTGGGTCTCAATGAGGTGGATGGAGGATCTTTTATCATGGGATGCTCGACGTCCCTCCTCTAAGGAGTAAACTGGAGGTCCAGGTACAAAGGACTCTTAAGAGAAGATACTCTCTGGTCCGAGTCTAGGGAACCGATTCTCTCTCCTGACATTTCACTCACGGAAGATCGAATGAGTGTTAGCGCGACCCGCGGTGAACCCGCCCATCGATCTTCTAAGAAAGCTCTAAGGCCTCCATTCACGCACCTCGGCGGAAACTTCGGCCATGCGAGTCGTTGCTTTTTAGCCGTCATTCGACCCGCGAAGTGCGAGATAAGCCCATTACCGACTGCGGGGAAGTAGGAGCGAAACACCTGAAAGATTACAGGAGAAAACTCTGGGACGATGGATCCGTATATGATGGCATTGACCTAAGGCTTTTCTTTCGCATCGGGAGGTTCGATGATATCCCGCTCTGGGGGTTCGGTTCGACGGGGCTTTCGCTTCTGATTCATGACTCAGACGTGATTCCGCGCAATTAATTCCAACCAATAGATCAGCCTTACACGGAAAATCCAAAGAAAACTTTCTTACCATGGAGTTTAACGTCATTCAATGGATGATCATGTTCCCCTCGGATTTCATCCTCTCGGGCACTGGCGCGGCATCGCGTTCGGGAGTTTTTCTCTCCTCGCTTCTCGTCACCCGGAAGCCCATACCGCCATGAATTTCGTTCACGTTCGTCGGTAATGATGATGGGAACCGGCAGCCCCCCATAGTCGGGATCGTTCGAGGGTAGAGG